ACACTTTCCTCCAAGAAGGCCACACTTCCAAACAGCACCAGTCCCTGTAAGCCTATGGGGCCATTTTCATTCAAACTACCACACTGGGTTAAATATCAAGACCTTAAAAATTTTAAAAAAAATTAAGAAACATAGGTTTAAAACTATACAACATCAGTCTGGGAAGTAATTGGTTTGGGATCTGACCTCTAATGCTCAACAACAAAAATAATAATAGGTAAGTAGGATAAAATGGAAAAACTTCTGCATTAGAAAGAAATAGTTAACTGAGTGAAGAGGTAAACCTTTAGATTGGGAGAAAATATTTAAAACTATATTTAAATTATTTAAAAGCAATTATTTCTGATAATTTTTTTTTTTTTGGTTTTTCGAGACAGGGTTTCTCTGTGGCTTTGGAGGCTGTCCTGGAACTAGCTCTTGTAGACCAGGCTGGTCTTGAACTCACAGAGATCCTCGTGCCTCTGCCTCCCAAATGCTGGGATTAAAGGCGTGCGCCAACAACGCCTGGCCTGATAAATTATTAATAACCAAAAAATTTAACTGAACTCAATAGCAAGTAAACAACACAGGGCAAAGGGCTTGGTCCTGCCTCAACTTGATATGCCAGTCTTTGTTGACTCCCTATGGGAGGCCTTACTCTGGGGAAAGATAGGGGGTGGAGGGAGGAGGGGGGCGGAGGAGAACTGTGGTTGGTATGTAAAATGAAAAAAAACTTTTAAATAAATAAAAAGTAACAAAGAAACCGAGTAAGTAATCTGAACATATATTTCTAAGATAAAAGACACAGGCAAGCATGGTGACATGCATCTGTAAACCACCACTTAGGAGGCAAGCCGAAGTTACATAGCAAGTTCAATGCTAGTCTGTAACATTGTCTGAAAAAGATACACAAATGGCCAACAGATAATGTGAAAAATATTCAATATCACTAGTCATTACAGAAATACAAATTAGAACTATGAGTTATCAGAATGACTATTATGGAAAATACAACAAGGGTTAGCAAGGACATAAAGAAAAGAGAACTTTTTGTCCATGGTTGGTAGGAATGTAAATTAGTACAACCCTTATAGAAATCAATGTAAAGATTTTCAAAAGAAACTGAAAATAGAATTTCCATATAATCCAGTAATTTGTCTTCCATGTGTAGACAAAATATTTGAATTATGTTCAGGAGACATCTACATTCCCAACATCATGGCAGCACTAGTCACAATACTCAAGATAGAGTACATACCTTTAATCCCAACACTTAGGCAGAGTCAAGCATGTATCTGTGAGTTTGAGGACAGCCTGAAAACCTGATCTACATAGGGAGTTTCAGACTAGCCAAGGTTACAGAGTTAGACCCTATCTCAAAAAATCCAGGAAATTGTGTCATTACAATGTGGATGAACCTGGAGGCTGCTATGCTAAATGAAATGAACCAAACAGACAAATACTATATATTGTCACTTACATGTGGAATCTAAAAAAACCAAACTAAATAGTAGCAAAAAAGTGGAATGGTTAATATCAGAGGCTGGAGGGGATTAGGGAGACATTGGTCGAAGTATAGAATATGTTCAGTCAGACAGGATTAAAAATGATAAGTATTTGATGTGATAGGTGTGTTGGGTTTGATCTAAGCATTCCACAATATGTAAACAGCATCATTTTTAATCTGTTTCCTAACACTTTGCTTTCTTATATAACCCAGGACCATCTATCTAAAAGTGGCACCATCCATAGTGGGCTGGAATTTCCCACATCAATCATTAATTAAGAAAATGCCCCATAAGGCCAATCAGACAGAGGCATTTCCTCAATTAAGCCTCCTTCTCCAGGTGACTCTAGTTTATATCAAATTAACAAACACACTAGCCAGCACAGTATCCAGTAAATATATAGAACTATACTCAATATTCTTTTTTAAAAATCAGAACAAAGATACCACCAATAATTTTTTGTAGTATTGGGAATTGAGCCCATTCTAGGGTCTTGCCCATTCTAGGTAGGTGTTCTACCACTGGGATACATCCTCAGCATTTGCATTTTGGGGACAGGATCCTGCTATGTAGCTCAGGGTAGCCCAGGATTCACGATCCACTTGTCTCAGCCTCCTAAGTGCTGGGATTACAGCTAAATGTCATCCTGCCCAGAAGACAACTGATTTGTAGAGGTAAGACAGGGTTTTATGTAGTCTGAGTTTTGTTACTAGATTATCTGATTTATATCAGATTCATGAAATAACCAAACTCCTAAAATATAGAACAGATAGGACTTTCCAGCAGTCTAGGTCTGGGGTGGGGGTTAGGGAACAGTGAATGCAGCCTTAAAGGAGCCTTAAAGAGATGCAATATTTTGGGCCTAGTCATGTCAATATCCTATCTGTGATATTTTCTATAGTTCTTAAATATGTAATAAATGGTTATAGAGGCCCTCTCTGCATTACCTTTGAACTGTATGTACATAGTCTTCAAACTGTAGGTAAATCAAACGTCTAAAAAGCAAATATATAATTTCAAAATAAGGTTCTAAATACATGTTCCATTTTATGTGACACACTTGAGAAAACAAAATGACACAGAATAGATCTATAGTTGCCTGAGTTTACCAGATGGGAGACTATGTTGCTATAAGAGAATAGCACCTAAAAAGAGGAACTCTCCTCCATTGTTGGTGGGAGTGCAAACTTGTACAGCCACTCTGGAAATCTGTATGGCAGTTTCTCAGGAAAATGGCAATCAGTCTAACACAAGATCCAGCAATTCCACTCTTGGGCACATGCCCAAAGAATGCACATTCATACCACAAGGACATCTATTCAACTACGTTAATAGCAGCGTTGTTTGTAATAGCCAGAACCTGGAAGCAACCTAGAGGTCCCTCACCTGAAGAATGGATAAAGAAAATGTGGTATATTCACACAATGGAGTATTACTCAGCGGAAAAAGAAAAGAAAACAACAACAACAATGGAATCTTGAAATTCTCAGGCAAATGGATGGAACTAGAAGAAACCATTCTGAGTGAGGTAACCCAATCACAGAAAGACAAGCATGTTATGTACTCACTCATGTATGGATATTAGACATAGAGCAAATGACTATCAGCCTACAATCCACACCAACAGAGAAACTAGGAAACAAAGAGGACCCCAAGAGAAAAACATGGTCCCCCGAAAAAGGGGAAAGGGACAAGAACCGCTGAGCAAATTGGGAGCATGGTGGGGAGAGAGGAGACAGGTAGGAAAAAGAGAAAGGGAGAAGAGGAGGGGGGAGGAGAACAAAAGGGATCAAGAAGACTGAGACAGGGGAGGAATAGAGGAAAGCAAGAAAGGAGATACCTTAATAGAGGGAGCCAGTATAAGTTTGGAGAGAGGTCTGGCACTAGGGAAAGGTTCAGGGATCCACAGGAATGACACAAACTAAGAATCTAGGCAGTAGTGGAGAGGCTGCCTTTGATGCCCTTCCCTATAATGAGACTGATGACTACCTTGATTTCGATCCTAGAGCCTTCATCCAGTAGCTGATGGAAGCAGAAACAGGCTCCCACAGCTAAACACTGAGCCATACTCCTGGAATCCAGTTGTAGAGAGGGAGGAGGGATGAGCAAATGCGACAAGACCGTGCTGGAGAAACCCACAGAAACAGTTGACCTGACCTAGTGAGAGCACAGAGACCTTAGTCGTAAAGCTGGGGACCCAGCATTGGACTGAACCAAGCCCTCTGAATGTGGGTGCCAGCTAAGAGACCTGGGCAGTCTCTGGGATCTCTAACAGTGGAGCCAGTGTTTATCCCTAGAGCACAAATGGACTTTGGGAGCCCATTCCCTATGGAGGGATACTATTGAAGCCCCAATACAGGAAGGAGGTTCTAGGCCCTCCCCCAAATGATGTGACAGACTTTGATGATCCCCCGTGGAAGGCTCACTCTCCTTGGAGACTGGGTGGGGGGGTGGGTTGGTGGGGGCATGAAGGATGGGAGGTCAAGGGAATTGGGGATTGATATGTAAAATAAGATTATTTCTAAAATAAAAAAGAGAGAAGCATGAGACAGCTTTGGGGAGAGATAAAATTATCCTCCATCTCACTAATCTGTTAGTTACACCAAACCACATTTGTTAGCACTTATCAACTTCTACAACTGCAATATTTCACTGCAATAAAAACAAGGACCACTGAAAAAAAAAAGATGGTACGTTTTAAATATCTCGAGGAATTTGTCTTCTGGATGCAAGAGAATTCAAAATCCAAGTGAGGAAATTATTTCAGGAAAATCATTTGAAAGAGAAGTAGCTTTCCTAAGTGATTTCATTCCCAAACCAATCTATCTTCATTCTCTCTGGGGAATGTTGTGGTAAATAACTGCAGGAAACCAGGAACAAATTTATTACCAGTCTATTATTGAAGACAATTCCACATGAAGATACATCAAATAAATGCACCAAAACACAACTTCAGAAAATGTTGGTTGAGGCCTTGGTGTGCTCTATTCTAATGAATAATTCAAGCCAAGGTACTGACTACAAATCCATCAGAAAGCTCAACGACAAACTGGGAACTCACAGATAATCTTGGCTAAAGAATTAACTTTCAATGATGAAAAATAGTATACATTAAGTGGAAACCATACTTGGAATTTTGATTTCTCCTGGGCTAAAGATAAGTGATACTCTACTCTCTCATGATATGAGGCAGCAGCATTGAGAAACAGCGCTGTCATCACTAGGAAACTATACAAACCACTATATTCCATGTTGCCACCATGTTTAGTGGGATAAAGGGGTAATAAATGAATTTTTAATTTTAGGTTGACATAACTGCAGGTTATAACATCATTATGAGTGAAGAAGCATCTGTATCTGTTACACTTAAATACTCAAAGACTTGACCTTAACTGGCAGTTTTTCAGTTTCTCTGATCCCAGTAATTTATAGTTTCCTAGTTTGTGCTACTGACTCCTATATAACTCATTACATCTATGATAAAATATAGAAACAGATAGACAATATACTTACCTGGGGTTTGGCCATTTCCTGATTTTCTTGGGAAAACAGATACATGAAAGTTGACCTGGAATGAGCAGAGTAGAATAGCAGAGTAGACACCATTAGATTTACAGTGCTCACAATCATCTGCCCAGAAATCACCTCATATGAGCTGGCCAGAAGGTCACTCTCTGGAAGACTATGGGCAATTATAAGTTTTTTTTTTTATGACAGTCTCTTTAAATAGCCCCGGCTGGCCTTGGACTCACAGAAATCTACCTGTCTGTGCATCCTGAGTGCTAGAATTACAGGGGTGCATCATCATGTCCAGAAGCAATTAAGTTTTAATAACAGCCTGTATTTTTAAAATGTCCTTGTAATATACTGAGGATAGAACCTAGTCCTAGGGCCTTGTGCATGCTAAGCCAGTACTATACCACTGAGATGACTAGAACTGAATTTAGTAACGTCAAATTTAAGAAATCCTATCTATATAACTTCTAATATTATACTAAGGAGAAATTCAGGATGAAATGCTACATGATTGTTAAAATAATGTATGGAGCTGTACACATATTATTTACAAGTTTTATGGTACACTAAGCTCAAATCAAAGTTCAGAATATGTTATAAAAATGTTAAGTCAAATTAAATTTCTGAATTAAAAAGGTTTATAAAATCGCAGAAATACATTTTGATGTACAAATTAAATGTTAACTATTAAGTGAGATTTAGCTTTTGTATGTCTAAGACATTTGATTGAGGGATAAAATTAGTTCCTGTTTTCTTCCCCTCTATTTTCCAATTAATTTATAACTCAAATATCACTTATTAGACACTCAAAACTACCTATTATCCAAATGGCACCTTAATTCACATACTTTAGTGTCTCTCTATCTCTCTCAGACCTCAAACTTTCCAAAGCTTGCTAAGGCTCCATAGATGCTTTTTTTCTTCTCCCTCACCTCAGTGGGGCTCAGGCGACGCAAAGAAGTCTTTAGATTCAATCCAACACCCTTCCCTGCGACTCCCACGAGGGTTACACTGGCAGACGGAGACGTGGGAGCGAGTCTAAAGAGGGGAGAACACTGTGCTGGAAAATGTGTAAAAGCCAAAGTTTAATAAGACTTACTTAATCCTAACTAGCCTCATAACTCTACTATTAAGTCTGCACACCCGGATTCACTGCTCTCTCATGCTCCCATCATTCCACCTCCCAGTCTCCCACATCAATGACACTCACGAACCTCCCTTCATTCATCCCTTGGAACTACCCACCAAACAGCTCGCGACCCCATGTGCTAGACCCTCAACCTTACTCAACCAGATTTTCTGCGGGATGTTGAGCAGACCATTAGGAGAACGACCCAGAGAAAACACTTCCGCTTCGGACCTACTAGCTGTCCCTGCCTCCTAAACTGGGACGGCAGTTAGTTCTGCGCATGCTCAGTGATGCCCCTTGAGACCGCATCTGCCAATAGCCAACATGGCGCCTCGAAGGCGACCAGACCGAACGCAGGCGCAGAGTGTAGCGGGCAGCCTCTGTGACGTAATGACGGGAAAGAATTGTCTGCTTGTGCTGTCACTCCTATTCTCCCCGGGCAGCGTAATAGAGCTGGTGTGCATTTTGCAGAGATCAACATTTCTAAGATGTCCCGCACAGTGTGTGTGTGTGTGTGTGTGTGTGTGTGTGTGTGTGTGTGT